GCCAAGGTGCCGGGCCAGCCACAGGTCAAACACCTTGGGTATCCATAGCCCTGGGGTAGACCCCACTACCCAGAGCCAGGAATGGGAATGAGTGAGTGGGGCTGTCCCTAGTGGAGGTCAGCTCCCATGCGGAGGGACAGAACGGCTGGGCGATCATGTCCAGCAGCGTCAAAAGGGGGGCAGTGCCAGTGGGGGAAGGGGGTCCTTTACAGAGGCCTCCAGGGACCAAGGTCGGGGTCTGGGGTTGGGGGGAGTCCAGGCGGCCCTTACTGCGCAGCATGTCATTGTAGGCGTTGTCTGCCACCGCATATATATGGGGCGGGGCCTCCGAGCGGCGCTTTCCTTTGTAAGCGGCCACCACGGAGGCCGTGTAGACTGGGAGCCATTTGTAGGGGTTGATGGTGACACAGAAGAGGCCAGAGTAGGTCTGAGGAGAGAGTATAGGTAGGGTTTTTGTTGTTAGTTGTTTTTGAGATGGAGTCTTGCTGTGTCTCCCAGGCTGGAGTGCAATGGCATGATCTCAGCTCACTGCAACCTCCACCTCCCGGGTTCAAGCAGTTCTCCTGCCTCAGCCTCCCAGGGTAGCTAGGACTGCAAGCGCACACCACCACGCCTGGCTAATTTTTGTATTTTTAGTAGAGATGGGGTTTTACCATGTTGGCCAGGTTGGTGTCGAACTCCTGACCTCAGGTGATCCGCCTGCCTCAACCTCCCAAAGTGCTGGGATTACAGGCATTGGCCACCACGTCTGGCCTACTGGTAGGGTTTTGGGAGGGATAACCTAAGTTCCCATCCCCAGGCCCCAGTCTTCAGAAGACTGTGACCCCTGCGATATTCCTCAAGGAGCCACTTGACTTGCCACACCACACCCTCTGTGGCTGTCCTGGCCTCGCCCCTGACTCGTGCTCACAGCCCTGCCCTAGCCCATGCCCACGGCCTCCATAGTCAGCAGCTGAGTTCTAGACACGCCGGCCACCAGTCCCCCGGAGCAGCAGGGGAACAGCTGCTCCCCTAAGGTTCCAAGGCCCAACCTCCAGCCCCGCCCCCAATGCTCACAGCCCCGCCTCATCGCTCACAGCCCCGCCTCACCGCTATGGACCCGCCCCATCGCTCACAGCCCCGCCCCTAGAGCCTCACCTCCAGCCCCGCCCCACACACAACCCCCGCCCCGCCTATGGCCTGGGCCTGGGGCTCACATAGATCATCCAGCGGGCATAGCGCTGGCGCAGGTTGTGCAGCACAGAGGCCTCATTCAGGTGCGTCATCATGGCCATGTCCTCCAGTAAGTCGAAGCGGGGCGGGTTCATGGGCTGCAGCTCAGCCTCACGCACCGTCAGCACCTACCAGGCAGACCGTGGCAGAGGTGAGGGGACCGGAAGGAACGGACCGACCTCACCTGTCACCCCCACCCACATACCCAGAGTGCAGATCCTGCTGGCCAGGAGGCCTAGGGACAGAGAGGCTAATCTCAGGAAAGGGGGAACGGAACCTTCTGGTCTTTGGTCTCCACGGTGACTCTGCCCCCAGTAGCCTCCGACTTGACCTCGGCCTCCACGTAGGCGTCCTGTTCATCAGGCACCCAGACTCGCTTCTTCCCTGGGTTGCAGAGAGAGCACTGGACTCGGAGAGGGGCTGAGGCACCTCCAGGGTTCTAGCTGGAGTTCCCAAGCCATGGTATCCATAGACTTGTGACCCTCCCCAAAGCCCCTCTGCCAGGACACAGGAGTTCCAGTGAAGAACCCTCCAAACCCAGGCTCAGGAAGGGCGGAGCTGGGAGGGTCCCTAGAGATCCCCTTATTAGAGGATGAGTCTGGGTTACATGCTTGGGTTCCAATCCCTGCTTCCACCACGTTTGCCCTCTGACTTCAGGAAAATCCCTGATTTTTTCTGGGCCAGTTCCCTCATATGGAAAATGTTATGGGGATCTCCTTAGGTCCCTCAATATCAGGCATATAACTCTTGGGGAGGCGTCCTGCCTTCCCTATTTCACTGAAGACTCAAATCCAGGCCTCCTAACTCTGTAACCTGTGCTCTCCTGTCTGGCCAGCTGTCGCCAGAACTTTGAGGAGCCCAGATTTCATGGTGGTTAGAAACAGGCTGCAAACCGGAGTTTGTGTTCCCTGCTCTGCCAAGTGCGTAGGTCAGGACCATCTAGGACCATCTAGGACATAACCTACAGACCCCAGTACAAAATGACGATGTGGGTCCCCTTGTTGAAAACTATTAAAACTTTCAAGATGGCAACGGCAGAGTGTTGAATCAAGCACAAGGTCCCTCTGAGCCTGGTGCCCTGTGAAGCTAGGTCTGGCGCTGGTCTCCATCTCCCCAGGTTGTTGAGATGATGTATGGGAAGTCATCTGCTCTGGACCTGACACACAATAAGCACTCGGTACACACTGCCTATTGTTAGTATTGTCCTATGAGCAAACCAGGTCATAAATAGTACAGCCTTTATTCCTGTCCCTAATAAAGGGTGGCTTTGGCTCTGCAGAAAGCACTAAAAATAACCCCAGCACAAGTTTTGTGGACATGTGGAGGCAGCCTGCACACATGCCGATCAGTCTCATCTCAGAGGCTCAGGCTCCAGCCCGAGTCTTCATAAACTGCAGCTCCGGAAGGTAGGTGCTATTATCCCATTTCACAGGGGAACAAACCAAGGCTTGCTCACAGACACACAGTGATATACACAGTGTCCCTGGGGTTTTAATTTCCAGGCCCCAGACTCTGCCGGAAAGGTCTAGGGCTCCAGCTGTCAGGCCCCAATGCGCCTTCAGCCCTGAGCTGGTGCCACCCCTCCCAATTCCTGGTCTGAGTCCATAAGGGCATCTCTGTGGCTGTGTCCCCTCCCCCTCTGCCTCCACTTACCATCCCATGGGATAGCGTGCACCTTCGTCATCTCCTGGTAGCCCTGGCGGAGGTAGCGAGCAGACTCCCCAAGTTCACTCATATCCATCATGGCAGTGGCACTGGGGTGAAGGAGGAGGAGCTAAAACCTTGCAGGTTCAAGGCAGCCCAAGGCAGCAGGCACTGGAAGATGACAGTGACGAGGGAGCTGAACTAGGGCATGATCCCCCAACCCACAAGACCAGATACTAGGAGACTCCCTCTGGCTCCCAATCCAGCCTCCTTGGGTGAGTGCCCAGCGTACATGCACGCCCTCAAACACCAGGGCTTCCTCCACTCCAGATTCGGAAGACTCACAGCCACCCATGGACACCCTCACCCACCCACCCACTCACCCTCCTGCCCTCCCTTCGGCTCCAACCCCAGTCCTGATCACCCACCTCAGCACCACGGTGAGGGCAGGAAGCTCTGCTACCCCTTTTATTGCCACTGTCAAGGTCAGAGGAGGAGAGCTATGTCAGCAATCTCCACGTGTCACAGCCCCCCCAGCCTGGCCACAGGACACAAAAGGCAAATTCCCTTTTATCTCCACCAGCACGGCCCCTGGGCTATTTTTACCTCCCATTGTCAGGGGATCACAAAGGCGGAGAGAGACACTCCACTGAGAGACAGGAAGGCTGGGTGCAGAGACTGACAGGGCCAGGGACAAAGCAGTAAGAGGTTCAGGAGACTGAGGAGCTCACGGGGAGAAACTGAGTCACAGAGAGTCTGACACGCCCAGAAAAATACTCCCACCTCCAGATACAGAGAGCAAGGACACTCAGAGAGGAAACCACAGAATGCCCACTGAGGTTGGACCATCCAGTCAACCCTCTTGATACATCCAGGGAAACTGAGGCCCAGAGAAAGGAAAGCATTGGCCAAGTCTCACAGATGAGCAATGGCCACGAACAGATTAAAATGAGAAGGAGAGAGAAGGAGACCAGATCAAAAAGAGAAGGAGAGAGAGGAAGAAGGGAAGGGAGAGGGGGAAGGGGAGGGAGGGGGGAGGGGGACATCCCTCTCCAGCATCTGCAAAGCGCAAACACCTGTGTCACCTCAGCTCTACTCAGGGTATAGGGCATTGCCTGCCTCCCAGAGGCTCTCTGGTGCCTCCACTCATTACCCTACCTCAGACGCCCACTCTGCCACTTCTATCACCATAGGCAAGTTTTGCCTGTTTTGAATGTATATGGTTGAAAATGTAGCTTTGCATTTATTTCTCTATATTTTATCTGGCACACCTGTGCATTTGGAATTGGGAGCGCATCGATACCCTCTTTCCCCCTTCCTCCCTCCCCATCCTCTTTCTGGGGACCCCCTGGGGAAATCATACATGAAGAAAATCAGCCCTGGAACTTACAGAATCAAGGAATTGTTAGGCTGAAGTGGAAGCAAATCAAGGAAATGTAACCTAGTTAGGAGCCCCTTCAGATTCCCACATTCAAGGTTCACAGGAAGCCACCTTCCCGTGGCTCACTCTCTTAGGGGTTCAGGGCGCTGGCAGTCCATCTGCCTGACATAGTCTTCGGAATGTTTCAGGGCACTTCCAGGCTCTCCTGTCCATCACCCCATTCAGGGCTCCGTGACTCCACAGGGTTTTAGAATCGAGAATGAAAGGATCTGAGAACCTTAGATGCCAGACACATGGAACAATGGAGTTCCAGAGCCAGGGTTCCGGCCAGAGGCCAGACCAGGCCCACACGGGAAGTCCTCTGACCGATCCGCTCCCATTCTAAATGCACAGGCGTGCCAGATGAAATATAAAGAAATAATTTCCAAGCTACATTTTCAACCATATACATTCAAAACAGGCAAAACTTGCCTATGGTGACAGAAGTGGCACAGTGGTCCTCTGAGGGAGGGTAATGGCTGGAGGCACCAGAGAGCCTCTGGAAGACAGGAAATGCTCTATACACCGAGCAGAACCATGGGACACAGGTGTGTGCACTTTGCAAAACAAATCAAGCTGTATATCTAAGATGTATGCACTTTACTGTGTGCATAATACAGGAACACATTTAAAACTTACAGTGCCCGTTGGGCGTGTGGCTCACACCTGTAATCCCAGCACTTTGGGAGGCCGAGGTGGGTGGATCACGAGATCAGAAGATCGAGACCATCCTGGCTAACACAGTGAAACCCCATCTCTAGTAAAAATACAAAAAAATTAGGCGGGCAAGGTGGCGGGCACCTGTAGTCCCCGCTACTTGGGAGGCTGAGGCAGAAGAATGGCGTGAACTCGAGAGGTGGAGCTTGCAGTGAGTGGCGATCACGCCACTGCACTCCAGCCTGGGCGACAGTGTGAGACTCCATCTCAAAAAAAAAAAGAAAAATTACAGTGCCAAATTTGGCAATATTTATCAAAATTACAACTGCCCAGACCCTATTAGGAATTAGTCCTACAGCATGTCCCCATTAGGAAATGATGCGGGTCCCCTCTGGATAGACATTTCGATTGTTTTCAGTCTTTCGTCATTACAGTCAAGGCTGCAGTGAACGATCTTATAAAGTTTGATGAATTTTCTCAAACATACCCTGGGCCAGGCCCAGTACCTCACGTCTGTAATTCCAGCTCTTTGGGAGGCCCAAGCGGACAGATCACTTAAGCTCAGGAGTTCAAGACCAGCCTGGGCAACACATCAAAACCCCATCTCTACAACAAACAAACAAACAAAAATTAGCCAGGCATGGTGGCGTGCACCTGTAGTCTCAGCTACTCAGGAGACTGAGGTGGGAGGATCGCCTGAACCCAGGAGGTCGAGGTTACAGTGCACCGAGATCACACCATTGCACTCCAGCTGGGCAACAGACCCAGTCTCAAAAGCAACAACAAAACAAAACCGTACCCTGCTCAAAAACAGAAATTATGAAAAATTATCCCCCTCAGACCACCCCTCACCAAGGGTAATGCAATACTGACTTTTTTTATTTTTATTTTTTTTAATACCCACTCTTCCTTGATCCACAATATAATACTGACTTCTAACTTCACAGATTAGTGTTGTCTATTTTCAAAATTTGTTTGAATGGAATCCTACATTATGTATTCCTTTCTTCTTTCTCTCCACACTGTCTCTGTGAGAACCTCACTGTTTCAATTCTCTGTGTAGAGCTTAGGTTGTACCTTGCCTACCTCCTGCCACCAGAAAAGACCTGCACAAGGACAGGAGCTTGGTCTGTGTCCCCAGCACCTTGCCAAGTGCCTGCACATCATAGAAAGTCAATAAATACCTAGTGAGTAAGTGAATGAACCAAACCTGATAGATTATAGGATTTTAATCTCTATATGGTGTCAGAGGCTGAAGAGCTGGGCTGGGGAAATTTATAGAAAGCCCAGAAAGTGGGAAAAATTCTTTTCATTGTTCAAGGATGCTCAGAAGGCAGGACTTCTTGCCCAGGGACCAACAGAATTAGCTTGGAGAATCAGAACCTCTAGCAAGTCTAACTTACACCTATCATGTGGGTCTGAATCCTAGAATTACCTACTCAGTGTATGAACCTGGGGCTAAGAAACCAAGCCCCAAAATGGGTCTAGATCTTCCCTGTAGGTTCCCTTCCACTGCCCAGGGTACATCTTCCTGCTGAGATAAGCTCACACACAAACATGACAACGCAAAGAGGAAACCCAATGCTCTGAGTGATTTGCAACAAATACTATAACCCGCAAGGGCTTAAGGTACTGACTTTCAATACCTGAAGAGCTTGTAATCCCAGCACTTTGGGAGGCTGAGGCAAGTGGATCATTTGAGGTCATGAGTTTGAGACCAGCCTGGCCAACATGATGAAACCCTGTTTCTACTAAAAATACTTAAAAAATAAAAAAAAGTAAGGCCAGGCATAGTGGCTCATGCCTGTCATCCCAACACTTTGGGAAGCCAAGGTGGGTGGATTACCTGAGGTCAGGAGTTTGAGACCAGCCTGACCAACATGGTGAAACCGCATCTCTACTAAAAATACAAAAAAATTAGCTGGGCGTGGTGGCAAGTGCCTGTAATCCCAGCTACTCGGGAGGCTGAGGCAGGAGGATCACTTGAACCTGGGAGCTGGAAGTGGCAGTGAGCTGAAATTGTGCCACTGCACTCCAGCCTGGGCGACAGAGCAAGACTCCGTCTCAAAAAACAAAAAATCAAAAAAGCTTGAAGAGCTGTCCCAGAGCAGAGGGAGCTGATGGGACTTGTGTAGCCTCAAAAGTAGATCCATGGGCAGTGACAGGAAGCAGGACGTGAATACACACAAAGGGGGACTTTTCACCCTCTGAGCCCGTCAGCAGCGGGAGAGGCTGTCTTGCAGGAAAGTGAGCCTGCCAGCACCAAGGGAAGACTCAGGCAGAGGTTGATCAGGGCTGAGGCCTCTGAACTGGATGACCTTTGAAGTTCGTTCTGATTTCAGGAGTCTGAGACTCCAGGAGTTTAGATCCCAGCCCAAAATGTATCTGCCACCAATGTAGCCCAATGCCTGAAATTTCTTCTTTGGGCAAAGACATTGAAGGACTCTGTGAATAATGCTTCTACAGCTGGGAGGGACACATGAATTCAATTCAACATGCATCTGACAGCTTCTGTCCCGTATCCAGGATTGGAACAAAAGAAACACATTGTCTAGGAAAGGAAAGATATTCAAGAAAGACATCAACATGGAGGAGTCTGAAGGAGAAAAGCTAGTTTGAAGGCTGGGCGCTGTGGCTCATGCCCATAATCCCTGCACTTTTGGAGGCCAAGGTGGGAGAATCACTTGAGGCCAGGAGTTTGAGACCAGCTGGGCCACCGGGGCATAAAGGGGAGAGGGGCAGGACTGAGCAGTTGGGACTGGATGGTGAAGGGCTTCAAAGGCTAGATTCAGATCTGGAGCTTTATCTTGCAGGAGCTGGGACGCCATCAAAGGCATTTTTATTTATTTTTTGCATCAAAGAGCTCTGAGCAAGAGAATTTGACAGTGTGTTCAGATTTATGTGTTCATAAGCTCCCTGTGACATCTCTACAAAAACTATTTTTAAAATTAACCAGGCATGATGGCTCACACCTATGATAATCCTGATAACTTGGAAGGCTTGAGGCAGGAGGATCACTTGAGCCAAGGAGTTCAAGACCAGCCTAGGCTGATGTAGGAAGACCCTGTCTCTACAAAAAATTAAAAAATTGGCTGGCCATGATGGTACACACCTACAATCTCAACTACTCAGGAGGCTGAGAGGCGAAAGTATTGCTTGATCCCAGGAGTTCAAGACTGCAGTGAGCCGAGATCATGCCACTGCACTCCAGCCTGGGTAACAGGAACAAGACCCTGTCTCTAAACAAACAAGTGTGACACCCAGACTGCCAGGAAGAGGGGTATGGCAACAAGGTTCCTACCCTCATAGAGCTAACACTCCCCTGGAGAAGCAAAAAATAAAAATATAAATAAATAAATAAATAAAATAAAACAAGCAAACACATTTTTAAGGTAATTAAAGATTATGGCAATGGTGAGCATGAAACAAGCAGTATGGCCTAGAGCGTAATGGGGGTGTACCTCGCTCTGGTGGATGAGGGAGGGCCTCTCTGAAGAGGCAACACTGAAGGTGAGACCAGAGAGTGCCAAGAAGCCGGTGAGGCAGGGAGCCCTTGGAACAGTATTCCAAGCAGAAGGAATAGCAAATACAAGAGCCATGAGGCAGAAAACAGCTTGGGATGTTTAAGGTGCCATCCTAGTGGTCAACAAGGGGAGAGTTTTCCAAGGTGAGGGTGGACAGGCAGATCATTCAGAGCCTTGAAGGACTTGGAAGGGACCCAGGGTTGTATTGCAGGTGCAGAGGGAGCCTGCGAGAGCAGAAATGTGAGTGAGCTGAAGTTTCATGGTGACCACGCGAATGACTTGGAAGGGGCAGGGGAGGCAGCGGGGCGAGCTGCTGCTATTACCCGGGTGAGAGTGGATGGGTCTGGCGTGGAGGTGGCAAGAGGGGACAGGAAATGGACAGCATGACCTAGAACTCCAAGGCAGGGTGCGGGGGGTGAAGATGGGCCCGAGCAGCCCCACCAGATGCAGCTGGGCCACCAGGGGCATAAAGGGGAGTGGGGCAGGACTGGGCAGTGGGACTGGACTGTGAAGGGCTTCAAAGGCCAGATTCAGATCTGGAGCTTTATCCTACAGGAGTTGGGGCGCCATCAAAGGCATTTTTATTTATTTATTTTTTGCATCAAAGAGCTCTGAGCAACGGAATTTGACAGTGTGGTCAGATTTATGTGTTCCTAAGCTCCCTGTGGCAGCTGGTGTGGAGGATGCACTGAAGGGGTGAGGCCGGTGGCAGGAAGACGGACTCAGGAGGAGGCTGCCATAATGGTCCCAGTGAAAGGTGGTGAGGTCCAGAGAGGGGCTCGCGACCCTGGCACCCTGGGGGTGGTTGGGCCCCTGCTTGTCCCAGGTTTTCCCCCTTCCTGGGGCCCTGGGCAGCTGCAGAGGGCCCGAGTGGGCCCCAGCTCTGATGCTTCAAGCAAAAAATAGGACGAGGGCAGCCAAAAGGCATCAGGGCTGTTTATCCGGAGGAGAGACGCCTCAGCATGGATTTATGGCTGAAAGGTTACTGGGGGGAGCGGGTGGGGAACCAGCTGTCCCCCATCCTCACAAAGGACAAAGAAAGGAGGGGACTGCAAACTCAGCCACAGCAAGAGGAGGGAGTTAGACACATAAAATGTCCTGACATCACTGGAGGATGAGGGGGCCCTTCAGCCATCACGCCAACCAGCTCTCATTGGACAGCTGGGGAAACTAAGGCACAAAGGGAGATCTTTGCTTGATGTCATACAGTGAATTCAAGCCATGACCAGGAAGACCTAGAGGCCTCCCCTAGCACACACAAGGGTACCTCAGACTGGCTGCCCCCGAGAGTGATTAACATGCACAGCTGTTCTGGAGGGATGAACAGAAAGACCTGCGCTGGGCCAAGGTGCTCCAGACCCCAGCACCCGCTCTGGTCCAGGTCTCTGACGTGCCGCGTCCTCGAGTTCAACCTGTGGCAGGCTCTGTCTCTGCCCTCCCACCCCCAGCCCGTCTGGTATCGTCGATATTTGATGGGAGTTCATTGTATCTCTCAAGGGTCTTGTTCTTTTGGTGTTGCCCTGTCCTGCTCTCTGCCCTACAAGACTCTGTATTTCTGTCTTGGCCTCTGACTCTG